ACAGAGGAAAATGAAAATTTCAGAAACTGGGATTTAGTTTGAGATACAATTATTTAAATTTTAAAATCGGTAGATTAAATATGCAAATAAAATTTACATAAATTGTAGTAAAATAATTGAAACACTCTCTTTAAAATTTCATGATATTTGAAAGTATCTATAGTTAATATATAATCATTTTGCTTATAATTACTTTCATATAAATATTAATATGTTTGTTAACAATATAAGAATTAAAATTTTAGAATTATACAACTATTAATTTTTATATAAAGAAGATATAAAATTATACCTCGTATATTAGATCTAACATGTACAGAAAGCAAAATATATAGAGCTACGGTATATAAAGTTTGGTAAGCTTTAATTAATAGTTCGTAAGTGTCAGAAAAATTGAGTTAATATAAAATTTATCTTCAAAAATGTCGCTTTTTATAAATTGACGAGAAAGAGAAATCATGTTCGTAAGTAAAGTTTATTCGAACCTCTTTCGTGAAAACGTCATTTGAGATCTAACTTGCAATTTCTCGTGGCGAAAACAGAATTTACGAGTTGCCCAATTTTACGAGCTTACTCCAAGCAATAACTCAGAGCGAAAATACAGTCGTCGTCGAACAGACTATAAAGGATTTTCTTATTCCATTAAGATTTTTATAACCCATCAAAGAGAATCGAAAAATTCGTTTACAATAGTATATACTAAATAAATATCATATAATTTATTGAGATTTAATCTCCGCAATTCGCTTCCACTTAAAAGAAATCCATTAAATTTATTGATAAGGCTAATAAAAAATACAAATAAACCTTCATTTCTACAAGAACAGTAAGTAATTCCATCTAAAAACCATTTTGATTACAGTAATGTATTTATTATACAAAAGTACTGTTAGATAATGTTTATTTATTAAATAATTTAATAATATATAAAATACTTTCTTTAAATGAAAATTTATCTTCTATAGTACATTTTCTTGCACGATTCTTCTTAATTATTCACTGTGCGTATAACATATTTGAATAAAGAAGTGTTGCTGTCATTCATTTCTGTCATCATGATAAATGCATGCTACAAGAATTCTAAANTATAATCTAACTTTCATGACACTAAAAATTTTATTGACTTAAGGTTATTTTGTATCTTTTGATAATGACGATAAGTTTTTACGAGTCTGCTAAAGAATTTTAAATACCGTAAAAACTACTATTGTACTGATTAACATATAAAAAAAAGCATTTAAAATAAATAACTTAGAAAATAATGACAACTTTAGTATTAGACATTATTTTATTCTCGCTTTCTATCTTTTAGTACAGGAAAGAACGTGATGGACATGACGAGTCTCTTTCGTTTCTTTTATTTCCTCTGTTCCGTGCAATTCTTATTGCTTCTTTTATGGTAATCTGCAGATGTTCCGTCACACCATCTCTTCATCTCATAAATGGCTTTTGTCTTCATCGTTTTCTATTCCAAGAATAACTTTCTTCACAATAGGCGAAATATATTTCAAGTTATATCCTAATAATGTCTTAAAAATAGACAGTTTTCAGTCTTCTAAAATCCACTCATACTTCCTTCCTCTATAAGAATTTATAGTGGATCTACAACCATACGTTCTGCTATAAGAATACAAACTATTCTGTTATATTTTATTAAAATAAAACTGTATTTGTGACATTAAGTTTGTTAAATGATAATTTTAAAAATAAATAATTAAAAATTAAAATTTATAATGAAATATTTTCTGAAAATTAAGGTATAATTCGTTTATTTCAAATTTTAATTGTCTAATTTATAAATAACTTTTATAATTATAATTTAACTAATATTTTGATATAAATTACCTTACTTTAAATAAAATGTTTAATAATTATTATCTAATTTGATATAAGTTTAAATTATATTAAAGGATTTATTAATCCTTTTAATATGTTATTTTAATAAGATTATAATTATAGTGAATTATCTTGTTAAATTAATTTGTGAAATTAAAAATTTAATTTCGATTAATTCAAATATCATAATAACATTATAACAGACTATTATCCTAGTTTTAATATTTTATAACGATTTAAATTATTCATTTAAAAAAATAATGTTAAAATTTAAATCAAATCTGTAATCAGTAGTGAATAATGAGTTGTTTTTCAAAAATTAGATAATATAATTAAATTGTTATAAAATCTATAATTATGAACTAATAATAACTTTTGGTATAATTTAAATTTTTATAAACTCTATATTTGCTAAAATGTAGTTTATAGATAACTCATTTATCTAGTAGTAGACAGAATAAATTGTTTAGGATTAAGTTAAATAAATGATATTTTCTAAATCTCTTTTTAGCTGTCTCTTCCAAGGTGTCATCTAACTTATCTAAGTATTAAAATATGATTTAGCATTTGAAATGATATATCATCTGAATATTTATCCTGCTTATTTTTGATTTAGTATACGAAGTCTTCTTATTTTTTTATATTTTATTTATTATTTTATTCATTTTTTAAAAATTACTTCATATAATAACTGATTTAGAAAACTGTCTAATTAATAATATTTAATTAATATTTAATTCTTATATTTGCCGAATGGAAATGCTTGTAAAGTTAGATGTTATATATTTGTTTTATGACAGAATAGGGAATAATTGTGATTTTAGATTGTGCAAGATCCTAGGCAAGTGCATCCCCTAATATAAATTTCTATAACATAAATCATATGTCACACGATACTAGATATTGTAAAGATCGTGGATTCTAGCTAGTATTGGATTTTGAATACTGGATCAAGATAAAGTATCGGTAAATGTAAATTTGTCTCTCTAAACTCTCTAAAAACATAGACAAAAGCCTGTGTAGTCTATAGCCATCTATCACTGATTGGACCTGTAATTATTTTGTCCATCTCATATTAATTTCAGTTATTTATTTCCATTGTACAATACATACGTCTAACTTTATTTATCTGTATTAAGTCATTAAGAATAGAATTTGTATTAAGAATAGTCATTACATTAATTTACTAATTAATTTCTTTGTTTTTATAAAATTAAATATATTAGCCTTAATAATTAAATTAAAAAAAAACAGTTAATTACCAATTGAAAAATGCATGAATAGCCTATATTTTTAGTTTATTATAACATTATCAAAAAAATGAATATATTCAATTTTAATATACTAAAATCTATAGTTTTCTTATTTTTATTGGGTTAATTTTAATTTATTTAAAGTATTAAAATAAATAAACAGAAAGAAGACGTTTTTTGGTGCGTAAACAAATGATGCGGCGTAGAGTTGTTGTCAGTCTACCATGATGAACGGTTTTCGGCTCAAGAGATTTCTAAAGGATGCTTTCGACATGTCAAAACTCAACATGTATCAATAAAACAAATCTCTTTTCCTTTGTACTGACAAGTCAGTTACGTTATGAGAAAGAGCTACAAAAAGTTATGATAAAGTTAAATCATTTTTATGAATTTTCTGATAACTTGTCGATTTTCTTTTTTTTACTTTAACTAAAATATCGATTTACCGTTTCATTTAAATAAATATTTGTTATGTCAAGATTTCAGTTTTTTTTTAATAATAATGTAGATTTTAAAATGACTAAGTACCACTACACTTTTATATTTAGTATTTTGAAGTACACAAAAAAAATATGACATCTTATCCTCAGGCAAAAATATTTAAACTCATTACATTAATTTTTCAAAAAAATTCTGTTAACCAGAAGAAAAAAAAGTTCTGAATATGTTTTAATCAGAACTTTTATGTAATGGTTTGCATAGAAGTGGATAATGTTAAACTATGGTGCAATCTTGCTTGCATTGTAATAGGATAAGAATTGTGGCAACGATTCATATAGCAACATTTTAAAATAATTATTTATTGATTTTTCTAAACATTTAGTAAAGAAATAGTTTTGTAAATATTTAAAGTATAGTTTTAGTACAAAAATTAATTCTAACCTTTAAAGGTGTGTAGATTGAATGGGTAGTCACTCACTTGAAAGTTGTTTCATACTAATGTATGAGTGAATAATCAAAAAAACTAACTTGTCCAAGCAAATGACCATGGTTCAAAGTTATGTGATCATTCATTCATTGCTGCACATTGTAATGGTTTGAGATGAATAATTAAAGACATTTGAATTTATTTTTATTTAGATAAATTCAAAATGGCAGATGAAATAAATAAAAAGAAGAAAGCCTACAGACGTTTTCAATACAGGTATATCTCGACTTACGTCGTTTCGAGTTACGTCGTTCCCGATTATACGTCGTTTGTCAAAAAAGTGAACGGAAAAATAAAAATCAAGTTTAAGTCATTTTATTCGACTTTACGTCCGTCCACCACAAATATTGAAGTCGTAATATCACTAGAAAAGCGTTTAAAGCACATAAATCATATTAAAATATATACATTTACAAGTATGTACTGTATTTACAGTACAGTACATGCATTCGTAAATTTAGATTACTTTTTTCTGTACTCTATTATAAACTAAAATTTATTTGTTTGTAAGCTTAAAATAGATTCTTATTAACCATATATTATTAAAAATGCATTAATAAATAAAATAGAGAACTGGGAATAGTAATTTATGGTTTTTCCTAGTGACAAGTAGATTCGGAGACAAGTAAATTCGACTTACGTCGTTTTTCTGGAACCAATTACCGACGTAAGGCGAGGTATACCTGTATAGTGAAGAAAATTTGTATGCAGCTGTAGAAGCAATAGATGAAAATAAAATGAGTGCTAATAACACTAGCAAAAAATTTAACATTCCAAAAGTAATTTTAATAAATAAATTACATGGAAAATTACCAATGGAGCCAAAAATGGGCCCCGCAGCAACTTAATTAAAGCGGAGGAAGACACCTTGAAAAAATGGATTATTGGAAAAGCCGAATTGGATTTTTCCATGCATCCTGATGAAGTAAAAGACGCAGTTCAGAAAGTTATGAAAGATATGAAACGAAAGAACTCGTTTAATGATGATCGCCCAGGAAAAAAAATGGCTAAAGCTTTTTCTAAAAAGACACCCTAATATAGCAGTAAAGAATACAGAAGTGATATCCAAAGCTCGAGCAGCAGTTTCAAAAAAGATGATAAGGAATTGGTTTCAAGAATTAAATAATTATTTGAGAGAAGAACATGAAAGTGATATTCTGCAAAATCCTTCCCGTATCTTCAATGCCTATGAAACAAGGATGCTATTTTGTCCAAAAACTGGCAAACCTCTGGGACCTAAAGCATATAAGAACTTTTATAACATTTCATCAGGACAAGAAAAACAGTGTATTACTGTTTTGTGTAATTTTTCTGCAAGTGGCCAGTCAGTGGATCCTATGATAGTGTTCCCATACAAGAGAATTCCAAGGCATATTGCAGATTCAGTTCCAGATGGCTTTGCTGTAGGCAGAAGTGATTCAGGATGGATGACAAGTGCCATATTTTATGAATATGTTGCAAATGTCTTCTACCACTGGCTTCTGGATAAGAATATCCATTTTCCTGTATTATTGCTTCTTGATGGACATAAATCACATATAAATGAAAAACTGTATAATTTTTGTGTTGAGAAAAGAATTCTCACGTTTTGTTTGTTGCCAAATGCAACTAATATTATCCTGCCTTGTAATGTTGCAATTTTTCGACCGCTTAAATGTCAGTGGAGAAATGTTGACAGAAAACAATTAACAATCATCAGTTTCTAAACCTAACTTTGCAGCTTTATTCTTTGAAGCTTACAAGAAAGCTTTGAAATAGGAAACGATTCAACATGGGTTTGAAACATTTGTTTGTTTCCTTTTGGTCCAAATGGGGTAGATTATTCAAAATGTATTTTTGCTAGGCGTCAAGAAATTGATTTAATAGGATAAGAAATTGGATTATTAGAATTTCTAATCTTGATTATTATCGTCTGAGTAAGGTTTTCCTGAAATTTATTTCTTATAAATGTCTTAAGTCTTATAAGTCTTGAATTTTATAAGGCAGGAAGTCTATAGATTGGACACGTTATTTTATTGATACCTGTAATAATCATAATATTAATCTTATAAATGATAATTTGGATCAATCTCCTTGTTAACATTTTAAATAATTTTTTATATAATACAAATGGAAAAATAAATAATAGCGTATATAATTGTTGGTGTAAGGATTTAAATGTCACTTTTTTTTTATAATTCTTTATATAATCAAGATGTTTCCCTTAATATTTTGTCTTTATTTATAGAGGCTAGGTGTAATTCATTGAACTTTTTAAAGTGTTTTGTTTTTTAAGAAAATCTGTTGATCTTTTGTTTTAGGGGGAGGGCGATTCCTTTACTATAAATTTGGCCTTATTGCTGATGTTGTTTGGGAGAATGTCAGTTCTGTGTCTTTTTTACTAACTTATTTATAGCTTAACTATAGTTAAGCAATTTGCTTATTTTTGGATGTTTTATTTTTATTAATTGGTATTTTATTGACAGATGCTCCTACACTTTAAACTTTAATTATTACATTTTAATTTTAAACCTTAACTTAAATTTAAATTATTACTTATATAATTTATTATTGTATAATTTTGTTTGTGACGTATGTTCATTGTATGTAAGCTTTTTGTTTTTTGGGAGATGATATTGCCCCCTGCATCAAAGAGTGTATCCAGTAGTCTATACAGAATAAAAAAAATACTGGTGCAACTACCCTATATATAATTTTTTAAAATATTGATATAAGCTTTTAAAAACATCAAAATAGTGCGGTCAAAGACCTCCGGATTCATTTTCATTCCCTCTCTGCAGAATCCCATAATGAAATTCTGCAGAGTTTAGTTACGTTTAATACTCTCTTGTGCAAAATATTTCTATAATACATTTTATATGAGAAAGCATTAAAACTTTGAAGATGAATCAGAACGTTACAAAAAAAGAAAAAGCCAATTTGTTATTTATTATAATAAAACAGTAAAAGTTTAGTGATATATAATATTAAATTAATAGTAGAATGTAAAAAAAAATGCAGCCAAAAAATTATTCTTCCAAAATATTTTATTTATTTATTTTTAAAATTATTAATTCGAAAAGTTTTTTAAATATTAGAAACAGTTTATTTAAATATATTATTTTATACTTGTCTTCTTAAACGCTTTATTAGTAAGATTTTTGGTGTAAATCAGTTGACACCTATAGAAACTGACAGATTTGAGACGTTTTACATATTGTATTTTAACCTTTTAATTGTAGTTTCCTATTGCAATAAAATATCTAAATATATAAATAAAACAGTTAGTAAAAATTTAAATTTATTGAAATATATTGTATAGAACAAGCATTCATAGGATATAATCATTTCTCGCTTTCGCAAATCAATCAGTCAGTATTATAGAATTAAGATATATTTTTTTTATTTGGTCATATATATAATTGTAAAAATAATTAATCTAAATTGAGAGGATGGTTTAAAATTTCACTATGTAGGGATTTCGAATGAAATCAGTATCCACATATAATTTATAAGCTTACATAAAACATATGTATAAGTTCCTAAAGAATAACGATCCGAACCGAATAGTTTCTTATCCAATCATGGATTTCTTTTATAGGTTTCAGGACGTAATTTTATATCATGCCTCATCCTAACTATTCGATCCCATTCGGTGTCTGTTCGACTAGTAATGGATTTTCTATGGCTTTTGTAAGTGTCCTGCGGGGACAGAAATAAATGATACGAGAAAATTGTTATGTTAGACTATCTAATTTAATTCAATTTGATTTTCGAAATTAAACCAAAACATATAATTAAATAACAACAGAATATCTTCAAATATTTACGAAACACTAAAATGATTAAATATTGAATTGTTTTTTTTTTCGAATTTTCGCATTTTTTTATTAATTTACTCATCAATTATTTGACTAATGAATATTTTCGTCATGCAATTAATCATTGTTGTTTTTTGACGTAATTTTTATGGTAATTACCAAATGAAATTTTAGTAATAATACGGGTGGCTGTATAATTGCATCGATAATGTAAACATACTATTATCGTGTAAATTAACATTGATGATACAAAGAAAATAAATTGACTTATTGATCTGTGAAGAAATTTCTCAAAAGGATACTTTATGATTTATGTTCTTACTTAACTCCAAGCATCCTGCACAATATGAAATAGGAATTATCGTATACAATTTTCAGTTAGCCTATAAATTAAAGCTATAATTAGAAGGGTTTATTTATCATATCAAATGTACAAGGTATAGGGGAGACCGGGGCAAGATCGACATGTTAAGCTTTACTTAAATTTTGTGTAATAAATACTGCTGTAAACTGAAAAAAAAGCTTTGCATATTGTCTATTGGAATGTTACCTTACTATAGAACTGGTTAAAATCAGTTTGGAAATAAAAATAATTAAAATAATTACAACTTTACAAGAAGAGAGAAATTGACGAAGTTGCCCCGGGTATAGGGGCAAGATCGGCAACTTCTCTCTTTTTGTAAAGTTGTAATTATTTTAATTATTTTTATTAAAGTTGCCCCTGGTATAGGGGCAACAGTAATGGGGCAAGATAGGCACGTATATAAAATTATGTTATTAACAATGTATAAGTTGGAATTCACTATTAAAACAAAGAAATACAAATCCAACACCCATTTAATATTATTACAACGAAATGCAAGTTCAAAGACATATATACATGAATAACAAATGCAAACATGTTTTCATTTATCATCTGTTTGATTTTTATCCTTTGCTTCTAATGTGGCTTTATGTTGCCGATCTTACCCCGCTAGTCATGATTTCGAAACATTAAGTACAACCCTGAGAACAGAATGCCAAGCCACGATCTGGCCACGTGAATAAGTTGAAGTTACATCCTTCTAACAGGAAAAGTAACTTTCGTTATCATGGAATTATAACAAAACCTGCCAATTCAATATAAATGGAAAAAAAATATTATATGGAATTGAACGAAAATGAAAATTTGCTTGATAATTCAACTACGCTTGTTGGAGAACAATAAAAACACTACACTCAACAAGCCACCAATAAAACTCAACTGCCTAACCTATAACCAAAGTCTCCTTTTAATTTGTTTTTAAAAAAAAGCGCTTGACAAACTTGCCCCGCATGCCGAAGTTGCCCCGGTCTCCCCTACAATCATAAAAACCAAACAAAATTATTTAAATTTAGTTTTAAGTAACATTGTAACAAGTTTACCGACTGAAATTATTACAAATATTACAGGAAACTGTGTATGTTAATCACCACCATAAATTAATTAAAATGCCAAAATTAAAACTAAACAAGTTACTTTTTTTAAAAATAAAGATTTTTGTCATTTATAATGATGCAAATATCTCCATTTATTATAATAAAAGTAGTTAACTGAATTTTGTAACAGATGAGCCTAACTTTTAAATCAATTAAATAATATATATTTATATATTATTCACACAAAAAAGCTTTTTTAATTTATATATTTTCTTGAGATCTTAAAGTTGATTTATGCCTACTTACATTTTCGTTTTTTTTTTGTAGACAAGAAGTTAAATATTAAAGTATAAAAGGTTATTTTAAAAATTCAAAATACAAAGATTTGTTTTTAAATAAATTACACTTTTTAGTAAATATAAAAAATTTAATTAAGTAATGCATTACGTTACATTAAAACCAATAAAAATTATTATAGTTATTTTATTCCATGATAAAATATTTACTTTAATGTAAATAGAATGGATATAGATTTTAAGTAAAATTGGATTAAAATGTCCAACAAATATATTGCCAAACATTTTTTTTTTTTTTACGTAATTGACGACAGTAAAATTTTACTTGTGTTTTAAGAAGAATTTTATTTCCAATAATATATCTTTTAAAGCTTTTCGTTTAGACATTTGAATTGTATTAGTCTGTTTTCTAGAGTAGAAAAAACACGTAATAACGTTTACTGCCTGGTTGATGATTTGAAACTTGTCAGGAACAAAATCGACTTACTAACCCCAAGTAGGAAGAGATCAGTAGACAAAAAAAAAAAAACACCAAAAATCTTTGTTTATAATCTTGTTTTATTTCTTGCCATTGGTTGTAATTATTTAACTTTTATCTGAACTGAATTAGAAAAAAATTTGAATTATTATTGAAAATTTTCTACCGTTTGTTTTAAATATAAATATATAGAAATGAAAATTAAATTACAGAAAAAATTGTGCAACTTTATGTAATTTTAAAGTTTTATTTTTAATTAATAGTTTATTGTAGAGACAGTAATTAAATAATTGTAAAATTATAATGACTTATACATAGTTTAAATTATAAATAAAAATTTTAAATTTCTTTTCTTTCATTAAAATTAATTTCAATTTAAACTATTCAGACTTTTAATTTTTGAGATTTTTTTTCCTAATTTCGGGATGCTTTATTTAAATAATATTAACGGTTATTTCTAATCGTTTAATCGATTTTCCTATAAAAAATACAAGTTTTATTATGGATTTTTACTTGATCTTTAAACTCGCATTGTAGATATGTAAACTGTTTTGATAAAACGAATAAAAAGTGATAGAATAACAAAAATTTTTATGAAAATAATAATTGTAATATCACTAATCTCATTGTTAACGATACATTTTAATAAACTTGCATATCTTGGTATTATTTTCTTAAAACAGTAATCAATAATAAATTATTTAAATTAAATTAACATTTTAATAATTACAGCT